TAGAGTCTGACAGCCGAGCTTTTAGCTCCCTGAGATTGCTCGTACATATCTTGACCATGTTTGATATGCATAACTGTAATAGAGTATATTTCTGAAAAAAAAAATCATAATTGATCCACTAAAAATAAAATAAAAGCTCCATTAGATAAACCAAGATTATTACAAACAAGTTTACAAAAGTATGAGAGTATCAGCGACAGTCTCTAAATATCGTTTTAGTATTAAAATAAACATCTAAAAATAAACCTTCCTCTGCTAAATGAATTAGTCATTTCTAAAAGTTTATTCATCATCCATGACATTAATCAGCAAAGCAAATAGAAACCTTGTTAAATGTCAGTTTTATCAGACCTGCATTAAAAACTTAAGAGGCAGAGTTGAGATAAGAGTGTTTAGACTGTGGTCTGAGTGGATGACTGCTTATCAGTTAATCTTAATCTATGGAACTGAGTCAGTGCAAAACCACCCAACTGTTTCTGAAACACGCAGTTTCTATTTTTAAAGCAACTTTCCTGCAAGGCAAGACCTGCTTTTTCAAACCACCAAACTGGTGCCACAAGTACAAATCTGCAGGGGAATGCCAATCACAGCGAGCGCGGCGGCTCCGTGGGGTATTTCATGCATTTTTAGCACGCCGTGGCACACAGAGTTAAAGGGACTCAGGGCTTATCCTCGGATTAATGCCTGGAAAAGTTCATTCTGCCCTGAGAGATCCAGGGTGAACAGAGTCCTTCCTAAAAGGGATTGTGTAACTGCTGGAACTTTTGATTTTGTTTTGTTCATAGAAGCAGGAGGATTACATCCTCAGAGACCCACCTGACCCGCCTCCCTCTTCTCAGCTGTCCCCTGCTGAACTCAGCGGACTTCATCCCACAGCCAGATGGGAAATACAGCAGTACATGGATATTCTTTTCAGAGCTTTCTGCTGGGCAGAGGTCTTAAAGACAATGGGGCCCTTTTGCATTTCACTTCTAGATGTGAAGCCTTACGCGTTAATCTTAGAGGTCAATCATTTTCTTCATTTCACTACTTATGCCAGACCGGACATCTGGGCAAAACCCTATAACTACATACAAGGTCAGCTCATGCTGTCATTTTATTTCTTTTCCCCACAAAGCAACGTCACATGCAGCAAGTATTAAGTTTCAGGACAGCCTCGTTTACTAGCACGGCTGCTGAAAGATTAAATAAGAAAAGAAAAAAAAAATCAACACAAAAGGCCGGGTATGAGAGGACGTTAAAAATCCATTACCACATTGTCACTGCTACCAAAAACAGCCCTAAAAATAATCTAATTATGAAATGATCTTTAATTACGTGAAAGAACACTATGCAGAACAAAAAACACAAAACCGCAATTCAGTACCGAGCTTCTCGTTCCAGCAGCGGCAGCAGCAAAGCTCTGAATGCTTAATAAATTCTTCTGAAGGCTGCACCGCACACTTGTTTCATCTGACAATGAGACTACTTGAATGGAATAGTCTGGAAAACTGTAGAGGGGAAGACAATCATGAAGCAGTAATCTTATTTCTCCACAGCAGCTCCCATTATTCTCCTAAAAATGCTTCTGTTTATTCCGGTTCAGCTCTCATTCCAATCCATCACTCCATTGAGAAATATTCTGCAGAGCCAAGGATAAATTAGAACAATAACCGCGCTGCGTGATTTGAATGCAGCAATCAGGCTCGGATAGGAGAGAGTACCGTTGTGCTCCTCCAGCTCTTACTAGATAGCAGTAGCTGCTCTGTGCACGGCTGCAATCAAGCCCAGATGAATTGAACCGCCTCGCTCTGTGTTCGACTTCCTGATAACTTCCTCTGATTAAGCTCCTGCTTAATTCACTCTGTCTCTCGACTCGGTCGACTTCAGTCATCTTTAGACAACTTTCGAAACGTTCAGACTTAAACCATCAATTAACACCCGAGCCTTCTCCGATACCGCGACACCGGCCTCTGTAAATGAGGAATCATCGGCGTGGACCGGCAGGTGTTAAGCTCCCTTTTTGAAGATTATGCTTCACTTGCAGTGGCCTGGCCCAGGCTAGCCACTCTCTTCTAATCCACCACTGCAAGCTTTTGATAGCTCCCACTGAGAGTCTTTATTACAATTTCTGATTAAAACCTGGAGCCAGAGAGAAAACGAGACAGACTGAGAAATTAGAGTGACAGAGGAGAAGGAAGGGCAAGTGAAAGAATTAAAAATTACTCCTATTTCAAATGCAGGAGCGTAAACTGCAGAGCAGCTGCCTTTGATTACCTTTAAATCTAATACTTGGGCTTAAATTTTGTTAGAGGAATGAGCTGACCCCAAAGGCCTAAACACGTATCTCATATTCTGACAGGAAACAGACCCTCCAGGAAAGACTACAGAATGAAACCCTGCATTTTTAGTTTAAAACTGCCACATTAGCACCACTACTGAAATGCTAGAACCAGACAAAATTGACGAGAGCTAAGGAAAAAAAAAAAAATCATTAAGATCATGAAGAACGCACTGCCTTGATCAGTAGAGAAAACAAAACAAAACAGTCTTATCTGGTTTCAACTCCAGCATCATTTATGAGGCACTTATTGTGCCGTCCTTCCTCCCTGATACTGAATAATCTCTGGGATAAAAATCTACACATGGCTGTGGTCATCCCAAAAACATGAATAATTCACAGCCATCTGCCATAAACCAACAGTCTAAATTAAAAAAAGACTGAGGAGGTGCGATTCCTTTATTGTGATCACTTCTTTTATTTTGTGTGTATTTGTGGGTCTGCTTTTGATTCACTTTATTACGTCGTCACAGGAAGCGAGACAGACTCACGTTCACACCTACAGATTTATTAATTAGCAATTTAGAATTCGCAGTTAACCCAACCCATGCATATCTTTGCACTGTGGGAGAAAGCCAGAGTAGCAGGAGAGAGCCCACGTAAACACGTCTCTACCTTCTCGACAATTTAAGCCAATGTCTGCAGTAAATTAGAAATGAAATTTTAGATGTAAAATGTTATTATGTACATGCAAAATGATCTCCAAAATGATCACGTGTGTAATTATCAGTAAGGCTGCTGGTTCTCAAATTTGGGGCAGAGTGATTATTTTACTCACAACTAAGCCTAAGACAACAGCACTAACCTCACCTTTAACCATGTGAATGGTCTGTTAAACAGCACTGCGATCATTTTATCTCCCCCAACTGGTTAAACGCTGTTAAAGCCTCACTGCTGATTAGCACTGAAGCTCCACACCATAAAAAGCGATCTTCAGAGCTCCAACTATCAGTTACTTTAAAGCAAGTGGTCGTCATGTTGAAAGTGATACGTTAGTCAAGAATGTCATCACACCTACTACGTTAAAGTGCTTTTGCGGACATTAAGCAGACACGTTAAGATGCCGCCAGCATTTCATGGTTTCAAGGCAAGAAAAAATCCAGCGGGGAGTTTTCTTGGTCTCACTTTGTCAAAGTTTCTGGCTGCTTTGTTTACACATTCTGTCCAGACTGCAAACATAAAGCATAAGTACTAAACAGCAGCATCCATATCATCGCAGAAGAGGAGGCTGGGGCCAGTCCGAGAGGCAAAAACAAGACTGAGACTACACAATACACTCTGACCCAAGTACATACAACATCCAGGATTTTTTCTGGTTAGACTCTAGAGGTCTCAAAGCTTTTTTAACCAGCTATACAAGGCCTCCAGCACCAGACGGCCCCTCTCTCTGTTTGTGTTCCAGGCCGGCGAGTCGCTATGCATGACGATTTATTGACGCAAGATCCCCCTCAGCCAGGACTGCCACCGATTACTGCTGCTGGAGAGAGGAGACGAGGGCAGGGAGAGGGGGGCAGACAGAAGGAGAAGGTCTTGCAGGGATAAGAGAGTTTTTCTGTGTGTGTGTTCTAGCTCTGCCTCCAAGGCCATAAACCCAGTTCCAAAATGCCAAGTAGCATGTCAACATGCCAGCCTTTGCCACCCAAGTTTAAGCCAGACAAAAGGCTCTTTAGTCCTCTAAGTGGTGGTCTAAAAAAATAGGAAATGATGATCTGTCATACGTGGAAAAAGGCTTTACCAGAACTGCACAAACTGAAGGGCGACAAGGAGAAAATGAACTGCTAACATGAAGTGAAACTGAGCAATGAGAGCTTAATTTCTGAGCTCCCCAAAGAGAAGGAACGTCTGGCACTGGATGAATGCTCTGGCCTAATGCAAACACAATCATCCCTCACCTATTTTTTATTTCATTTCATTTCATAACAGCTGACACTTGTTTTTCAAAAGATTTGTCCATCAGCAGATTGTTAGCCGTGACGTAAACATCCCACCTCCCCAAATAAAATGAAAAACATGCGACGAATACAACTGTTCCTTTAACTAAACACTGGAGAAACGTCATCAATTCAGATTTATTACATGAAAAAAACAAAACTGCTAAGTTAAATTTATGTCATATATTCAGATGGGCTAAGCATGAGCAGGAAACAGAAATGACCAAAATAAAAAGGAAATGAAACAGGAAAACACGGCCCGCTCCAACGATCACTTGCATAACGCAGTGTATTTAAGAAAAAGAAAAAGAAAAAAGAGGAAGAAGACCAAGAAAGAAATCAGTAAATATCTTTGGTCTGTGCCAGTTTTCCCCGTAATGTGACGACATGAAACATCCCCTGTGACACAAACCCCTTTGAAAAGCCTTTTGGCAGGGACTCAACCATTTCTCCAAACACTTTTCAAAAGAATAGAAGGTGATGCCAGCAAGCAACATTGTGTCACACAGAATCTTTAGTACTGCAACAATTAATAAATGCCTGTGAAATCAATTTCCTGAACATGACCAACACAAGCAGAGCTTGATGGGAAGTGAGGACACAATGGACCTTTTGTCCAGTTAAGTAAAATAGAAAATCCAGACCTCTGCTAAGGAGGAAAAGAATATATACTTTTCCCATAACACAGCAGCTATAAATCTATTCAAAATAAACTGCCGTGTTTAAATTTTACATTTCTCATTTCTTACCTTGGCAACTGTGAGAGCTCATTGTTATGGCTGCTGTTGCTCGTGCAGACTTGATGTGGAAAGAGAGGAGCGAGGGCGTCAGTGCGCCTCTGTCATGGTCACCATCGTTCGCTACCCAGCTCGACCAAAGAGGAACATGGATTCATCACACTGTGGCACAGGTGAAGACCTCGTTGGACTGCTTCACCAAACAGCCTGTGAGGAGGAGGTACAAAAAAAGCAGGGATTTCACGCAGGCTCATTTATCACTGCAATAATCCGAATTTTTAAACAAACTTAAAACAAACACGTTTATGGTTTTTGCCATTCATTTATCCCTCCCTGCACAGGCAAGAAAGCACAGACAGCCCTGCATACCAACCAGCTTTCAAAGAACTGATGACCCCAGTTCAAAGTTTCTGCCTCTCTTCAGCCCCAATTTAAATTAAATCTCTTGCACAAAACTGTCCAGGACATTCTGACACATAGTTGGTGAAAATCACAGACAATTAGAAAATAAACTGCACTGCAATTTCTGCTATTGCTGTTACAAAACAAAGGCAAGCGTTTAATGTTCAACAGCAACTTCCTAATTGTTGTAAATCTGTTATAAATAGTCTTACAATTACAATTGTTGCTAAAAGTGAGTTATAAGGTGAGGAAAATGTGGCAAGAATCAAGTTAGGACACGGTCCTGAGTTGCACTTTCTCACATGCAGCACACAGCAGGAGACGGTCTGCAACAATGCTGGAAACACAGAGTTCAGTTTAGGTGAGAGTGTGTTCAGCAGGCAACACACATGGCTTGCAGAGAATTTCTCCGGACAAATACCCTCTCCATTCTCACAATCGGACATCACGCAGCCTTTGCTCTGGGGAGCTGCTTCAGTAAATACTCTTTAATATTCAATCCAACTGGCTTGGAGATTTTCATTTTGACATAAAACTCTGCTCAGTTATACAGAGAAAAGTTCAGGGCAGCAGTGTTAAACAGCTTGGATTTGGTGGAGATTTTTGGCTAAGTAGAGAAAGTGAGAGCGGGAATTCAGTCTATGCAGGGGCTGTGAAGACGAACTTCCACAACAGCTTGTGGGCTTACAGGACTGATGTTCTCCAATGCTGATGGTTGAACAGCCAAGGGAGCAACAGTGGAGCTAACTACGAAGGAAAAAGTACAAAAAAAAAAAAAAAAGTACAAAAAAGGCAGACTGGACATTCGTTTTCATTTTTAGCACTCTGTTGTATATTTTGGCATCTCTTCTCCACAGCAGGGGCTAAACCAAAGGACCAACAACACAGCAAACAGTAATAAGAGTAGCCCACAGGGCGGGTTGATCCACATATTTTTGACACTGCCCTCAAGTGACAGGAGGCGGCTACAACATGTCCATGTGGGTCTTCCAAACTTTCAGTGCACGAGCAAATTTAAAACGGAGACTAAAAGAAAGAACAAAGTGAAAACAAACTGGCAAGTTGTATAAGATGTTTATTTTTTTTTTTATCAAATCAAAATGATTCATTTGAACCATCTGGCTTTACTTAAAATCGCAGCATGTTTACAGAGTAAAGCGAGTCCCTATCAGAACTGTCATCACAACACTGCCTGAGCCACACCCAGCAAAGAGAAGCTTTTTGAATTTGGTTGAGCAGGTGTACATCGGTGATTAAGCACTGCAACAATAATACACCGCATTTTTCACATTTATGCATCAGAGCTCACCGGGGCACACGCCTTTGCAAGCATTTTAAGATTTGATCACATCTATTACTGTTACGCTGTTACCGTGTTTGCTCCCACAGTTTGCATGGTCAGCCTGGGAAAGTCACTGCCTTAATGAAAGGCTGTAGTAGAGCCCCAAATGAAATGCAAACAGAGGCTTCACGAAGGCTTAGACTCACCTCTGAGTCAACAGCAGAAGAAAGAGGGGAAGAAAACTTTTCATACTGCCTGGTGTTTGTGTGTCTTATGCAATCAAAACTGCAAGCGGTGCGCAAACAAACACACAGAGAGGCCTCTGGCTCTTCGACTTTAACCGGCAGAAACTAAAACTCACCTCTGTCACGTCTAACAGGTGTCGGCAGAGCTGAAAACAAACATGTGGTAATGAGAGCTGCAATCAGTCCGTTTAAACCCCACGGCGGCCGCAGCAAAGTGCGTCTGCGCTCCCTTCTCTTTCTCAGACACACTCGCTCGCTCTTTAAAGCTGCTAAACTGAATTACTGTCACGTACCTACGTTCAGTTCTGTTGCGCAGAAAAATAAAACTTCATGGAAACGTATTCCTGCCAAAAGTCTCCAGGCTCTTACCTCAGCTATCAGGAATTAACATAAACACCATAACGGTCCCTTAAGTCTAGAACAAATTCATCTGAGAAACCACATTATTAATTGCCGTCAAATGTGAGAGGAAAAAGTGTCAGAGTACTGATGGGATAAGTGCCACTTGTGACTTTGAGAAAAAGATGAATGTGTTGCTATGACAAAAGTCAAAACACAGTATTTCCACTCTTCGAGTTGAGTGTGCTCTTCATAGCATCTTTCAAGCCATGGGGCAAAACAACAATGGAAGAGGTTTAGATGTCAGTCTGAATTCCTGACAAGGGTGTATGTTTAGTTACATGTACACTGGTGACACTTGGAGGACCGTGGGGGACACCGAAAATGGGTGTTGATGGATTTGCTGAGGCATGGGGTGTCAGAAAAAGTCGCCAGGGTGCCAACTGGAGGGCAGTGGAGCTATTCTCAGCTCAAACCAACTATTTTTGTCGGACGAGTTGTCACACACACGCACGCACGCACGCACCCACACACACAATGTGCTTTTACAGTCTGTTATAGTGTGACAGCAGTGACTTTAGGCATTTTCTCCTCCTGCTCTCTCTGTTACACCATGGAGCTCAAAGAGAAGCCTTTACCGACTCCAGCCAGTTGCAGATTGTAAAGCTGATCTGTTGTCAGTTGTGATGCTACTTCCACATGACTTCCTTTTTTTTCTCCTGGAATCTTAATCACTCTACAGGGATCCCATTAAAAATGGATCCTTGTACAACACTGCAGATATTTCTTTTTCCTGCACTGTGGCACCATAAAACACATCACCTGCATCTCTTCAAGCATCTCATTTTCACCGGCTAACTCGTCTGGATAAGATTTATTATTCTCATGCAGTGACGTTTGGATCTGGAAACGTTTCATGGCGCTTGACAGGAAAACAGCTCTCAGGACCCCTTAATGGACTTCATTTCCCAAGCACTCTGAGCACTGCTGGGAGTAATCACGATAGCATAAAAATAACATGTGGTTGGATAGTGAGCAGTAAACAACAATTAAGAGACCCCTTGCATAGCTCATGAAATGAATCATTGAAAATGCATTTGCTCCATGAAGACCGCCTCAGCCTCTCAGCCTTAATTGACTATGAATTATTCAGCTGGCGATGGGATTAGTGCCTTGTATGCCATGGACTGACATGTTTCTGAGGTGTAGAGTCTTTACAATGTGATAGCAGCTCAGAATTCTTGAAATAGATGTGGATGGCCCAACAGGAAGCTTTTTGCTTTATTACTACCACCAAGACAAAGGTAGAATATTGTAGTGTGTCTGACAGGAGCTGGTCCATCTGTGAAGTTCAGGGTGTAAAACAAGGGCTGGGTAATGTACAGCTGATATAATTTCAAAACATATACCGAATGAGACAGTTCTGTTTATATAAGAATGTCCTTTGATGCTGAGGTACAGTGGGGCAAAAAAGTATTTAGTCAGCCACCGATTGTGCAAGTTCCCCCACTTAAAATGATGACAGAGGTCAGTAATTTGCACCAG